TCCAATATCTAAGAACAAAAGCATTCCTTAGTTTAAGAAATTTCAACTTTAGGCCTGGAGCCGTGCTTCACCCTGTAATGTAGCAAAAAAAACAAAAGAAAAAAAGAAGTAAAGAAGTTTAATTTTAATATTAATAATAGAGATTGTTGTGGAAGACATTAGTTACACAACGATTAACAATCCTTTGTCAGGAACTCTTGTGGTAGAGCATACCTCCCGTATGATTTTTTACTTTGTTGTCTTATATATAAACAAGCACCGCACCTAAGGTGGGCATGTTCCTCCTCTTACTTCTGGGAATGCCCTGCTCTGTCTGTGAAGTAGCCATCCTTTGATTCCTTTACTTTCTCAATAAATTCACTTTCACGTTACTCTGTGGACTTGCTCTGAATTATTTCTTGAATGAGATACAAGAACCCTCTCTTGGGGCCTGGATCAGGACCCTTTTCTGGTAACAACTTCAGATCTCTCTGCCCCAACTGTTTTCCTCTCAAATAGCCGCATGGAGTGTTTGCTACCTGCTCCTTTCAAGTCACTGGCTAAATGTCACTTTACTATTGCCCTTTCAGATTCCCCTGTATTAGTCCGTCCTCACTCTGCTAATACATACCCAAGACTGCGGTAATTTATAAAGGAAAGAGGTTTAATTGGAAGGTGGAAACAACACAAATTTCCATTAACCAGTAAGTGGATAAGCAAAATGTGGTCTATCTGTACAGTTAAATATTTTTCAGCAACAGAAAAGAATGAAGTCACTCTGAGAGGCCGAGGTGGGAGGATCACGAGGTCAAGGGATTGAGGCCATCCTGGACAACATGATGAAACCCTGTCTCTACTAAAAATACAAAAATTAGCCAGGTGTGGTGGCGGGCGCCTGTAATCCCAGCTACTCACAAGACTGAGGCAGGAGAATGGCTTGAACCCAGGAGGCGGAGGTTGCAGTGAGCCCAGATCGCACTACTGCACTCCAGTCAGGGTGACAGAGCAAGACTCCGTCTTAAAAAAAAAAAAAAAAAAAAAGAACATTAGTGTGCAGGTTTTTGTGTGTACATGTGTTTTCAATTCTCTTGAATGTATACCTAGGAGTGGAATTGCTGGGTCGTAAGTAACTCTGTGTTTAACTTTCTGAGGAACCGTCAGATTGTTTTCCAAAGCAGCTGCACCATTTCACTCAATCTTGCCTCTGCATTCCCACAGCCCTTGGCGTCCACTTGCTGCCTCTGGCTGTGTTTCTTAGCTCCTTGCCTGTGGGCCTGTTTCCCTTGAGAGAGCTGGAACCTGACAGCGATGAGTGTATATTTCCTTTTTTTGTGGAGACAGGGCCTCACTATGTTGTCCAGGCTGCTCTTGAACTCCTGGACTCAAGCAATCTGCCTGCCTCATGCTCCCGAAGTGTTGGGATTGCAGGCATGAGCCATCATGACTGGCCTGGATGAGTGTGTTTTATTTACTTATTTATTTAATTAATTAATTTATTTATTTTTGAGACAAGATCTTGCTCTGTCAACCAGGCTGGAGTGCAGTGGTGCAATCTCAGCTCACTGCAACCTCCGCCTCCTGGGTTCAAGCGATTCTCCTGCCTCAGCCTCCTGAATAGCTGGGATTACAGGCGCCCGCCACCAGGCCCGATTAACGACTATGTTTTAATCCAGTGTCATATGTATTTTGACATCCTCAGTTTCCTCATGTGTACAAAGGAGACAAGGTATGGAACTGACAGGTAATCTCACCAGGAAAGTTTGGCTTCATGAAAGCTATTCCCTGGCAAAGTCTGGGAGATGGCCCCCCAAAACTACTTGTGCAGTATTTCTGGTCAGGAGCAAGAAAAGAAAATCCTGACAAGTTCTCATCACCCTTAACAAAGTTAGATTCTTTTCTATTTTCCAATTAAGTTATAATTATTCATGAACTATGAGAGCCAATAAGCAAGAGTTGCTATATCATATGGCTTTATTTTCTGGGATGCACGTTTGGCGTTTTTTTCTTTGATGTCCTCTTCCACAAGGTTCTCTGGGAGCAAGCCACGCCCACGGGCTCAGTCTCCCAGCACCCCCATAGTCTCTCCTCTGCCTCAGCCGGCACCTCTGTCATCTGTGTTCACAAATCTTCCATTTTTCCATTATGTGACGCATTCTTTGTCTCTTTTTGTGTTACTGAGTTTTTCTCTTCCCTCAGTTTCTTCTTCTTCATATTTTTCCTTCTTTTTGATCTAATAACTAAAATGTAGAAACGATGTTATCGATATAGTAATAAGTGAGGATTAAAACTGGAGACACAGGGGTGAGGGAAAAAGCCTGGAAAAATGGAGGTACCAACAGTGGAATTTTCAGAGGATTCATAATGAATGTTATTTGTCTGACAACGATAGTGAAAACTAAATTTTAAAATTATTTTCCCATATTTTGTATTCAAGTTGTATAAATGCCCAGTAAAAGAAGAAGAAGAATGTAGAAAAGTTATAATCCAATGTGGTAAAGAGACATTGGGAAAGTGTTTTCTTTTTTTTTTTTTTTTTTTTGAGACGGCAGTCCCTCCTGCGCCAAGCTGGATGCGTGCCGGATACTCAGCCACAGCAAGCTCCCGCTCCCGGGTTTACGCCATTCTCCTGCTCAGCCTCCATAGCTGAACTAAGCGCCCCGCCACCTCGTCCGCTAATTTTTTGTATCTTTTATAAGACACGGGGTTTTTCCCGTTCAGCCAGGGAATGGTCTATCCTCCTGACATCGTGCGATCCGCCCCATCTCGGCCCTCCCAAGGTGCTGGGATTACAGCTGGCCACCGGCCCGGCCTGGAAGTTTTCTACAGGTTTGACAAAGCTCTCGCCCTCATACCATCATGATCTCTCCTGCTCTGCCCGTTCTGCCTCTTTCTGGCTATCCGGAGTTTTTAGAGAGTAAGCTCCCATTCGAAGGAACGGGTAGTATGGCTAACACACACTGCCAACTTCTACTAGGTTTCTCTCTAGAAGTTTTAAACGAATACCCACGAATCTCAGAATCTAGGCCTGGGCCATGCTCAATACCTATAACCCCAGCATCTGGGGAGGCCCAAGACAAGGAGATCTCCTTGAACCCCAGGAGTTTGTACCAACCCTGGCAACCACGCAAAACGTCTCTACTAAAAATACAAAACTAGCCGCAGTGCAGTGCTCAATGCCCCCTGAAATCCCAGACTTGGGACCTGAGAGCGCAGATCACTGAGCAAAGAGTTCGAACAGCCTGGCCCAACATGAGGGCCATGTCTTTACTAAAAGATACAAATAGCCAGTCATGGTGCCAATCGTAATCCACCTACTCGGAGCTAGGCACCGAGAATCCCCACTGAACCCCGACAAGTTGCAAGTGAACCAAGATGACACTGCCCTCCAGCCCCCTGGCAACAGAGACGAACTCTCCTCAAAAACAAAACAAAAACCAAAACTGATGGGCCATAGTGACTTGCCCGCATCCCACCACCTCAGAGGCTGAGGTGGAGTTAACTGAGCCCACAATGAGGCTATGCAAGCTGGCTAGTATGCCCACACCTCATCCAACCTGGGTGACATAGCTGAGAACTATGTCCAGAAAAAACAAAAGAAAGAAAAAAAACCAAGGATGCTGGCTCCACCTAATCCTAGCACTTTGG